AATGTTTTTTCTCATTGTCTTCTTTCATTATAATGTAACACATATATTTTTGTGACACATCATAAAAAAAGCTTCGGGCCATCAGTACATCATATATATATATTTTACACTTCCAATAGAGATGATGCTTACTCTCTTTAATCTCTTTTTAGAATCGTGTGGTAGAAAATGTTTTAATCTTAAACAATGAAGATTTGAACGACAATTACACAACCAGTTTTTAAATAACTACAGACAGAACAAGTATACAAATGTGATATATACATTACAAGACAGAATATAGATAAACAAATGCAAGTAATCTATAAAATGTATACATTGGACAGCACAATTACATGATTTGCCCCTGCTCTGAATAAGAATTAAGACGGGGGAAAAATGCTTGTATATGATTTAGACTTCCCTCTAACCCTAGTACGAAAACGAAACACTAGGAAAAAGAGAGCAGGGAAACAAATCTACAAGTTTTAACTCAATGACATTTTTATGAAAACCTAGACCAGTTCACTAGATAATCGAAATGTCATTTTCATAAACAATATAAACGGTTACTGTTTAATTCACTACTATAGTAATCCAAGTTACACTGATTGAATAATTCATTAAAAAAATATTTTTAATCAACGCTAAACGGAAAGTTCTGATGTTTTAAATAAATTGTTTAACAAAATGATTTTTAATTCCTATAACCACTTAATTAATGGTAAATATCATTCATTTTTAAACTTAAATCTGTTATGCTACTGCCATAAATGGAGTATGAAACAACTGTATAATACAGTCCAAATCGATCCAAAACTATCTCACAAAACCATCTGTTTATAAATATCATGTAATATAATTATTAAACCACTGTATTAAAATGTTCTCCTAACGAATATTTATATAATCGCAAAATTATATTATAAATGTAATGTGACAATTTTGAAACTGTATTATATCACATGATGGGCAGGGAGTGCATAATAAGCTCGTAAACATTCAAAGCAAATGTTCTAGACATGATTTTATTATCGGAACGGTATGACAAAACGTATCTTTAAACAAAAAAAACAACACTTTTACTTGCTTATGTAATTTGGGAGTTTTGTCATAGCATATATTGATGAAATCTAGGAAACACTGCAAGATATGTTTCTAAATGAAGTTGTCATGTTTCGGTAAGTGTGCCTTACACTGGCGTTTTGCTTTATATATGTGTTACGGTTTAAAACTTTACTATGTACGGGAGAAGATGTGTAAGCGGCCGGATAGCTTATTTGTTAGAGCCGCGGAACGGTATTCCAAGGGTCCCGGGTTCAAGAACCGGTCAGGCTGCCCATTTTCCTCGCCCTGTAACATATTCGTAATTAATGTGCAAAAATATATGGAAGTTATGAAATTCAAACCAATGGAGCACACCAATTATAATACAATATCATGAAAATTCTACTTCATTTCACTTATTCCCTGTACATTTTTTCAGGCATTCAAAACGTTCTCAGACAGACTTCGTTCGAAAAAAACTTTTTGTTTCGGAAAAAAACATCGCAAAAAACTGACTTAGAAATCACTCAAACAAATTACTACTACCACAGATGAGTATCTTATTACAAATACTTGGAATGTATAAATGTATTTTTCAGAAACACCAAACTGTTTTTTACTTTGGCACTTTGGCAGCCTTTGTGAGTATCACAGATAAAAAAGTTGGAAAGTCCGATAATCTTAAAAGCATTAAATCATTGATTCTCCACTAAACGTGCAAATTAGAATATATTCTGTCCCTCGAGTATATTTTGTTGCACTGCAGTTGAAAAATACTTTTTGGGCATTTTATTGCTTCATTACATGGTCATGTATGTAAAGCATTCAAATTAATGACTTAGTCTGTTGGATTTATACGAAAATATTATCATGCAAAGGCGCTGTATAACCCATTATGTAATGTCCCCAGGCTTGGGTCCCATATTACTGTTGGTTTTACATAATTTCCCCTGAAACATGCGTTGAAGAAAAACCTCTTAAGTGTTAAGTTTTAGTTTAAATGTCTAAGTGAGCGATTTTTATTGTTTTCTACAGTGAATTTGGAAAAAAGTTACAAGCTGAAATGCATGTCCCTCATATATTGAACAGATACGTTACCACACTTCAGGTAAACCTGAGTAAGAGTAATATGAACTTGTAACATATTAATAGTTTGCTATTGAACTCAAGTTTTATCATATTTCATTATTCAAAAATGATTTTGACTACAATATACATGCTAGAACCACAATGACTTTGCAATGATGAGGCAATTTGGATTTTACTTTAAAGTGAAACAGATACGTTACCATAATATCCCACTGAGAAACATTTACTATTACCAGCACTTACGAGTAGGATCGCATTTATGCATTATTCAAATATATGCTTTACAAAACTTAATATTTTAATATATTTGGCAAATATATGTGAATGTCTGATATATTTTAGTTTTTTGACCAACAGATACGTTACCAACAGATACGTTACCAATATTTATTGTTTGAATCTTAATTGACGATTTTGCTCAGTTTTGAAATGGTTTCATGTAAAAAATCACAGCATAACGTACGTGTAGCCGATAAATGATGCTTTGATCTCGATTTTATTGGAAAACTGAAAATGTGAATCAGGAATTTGAAATTCAAGGATTAGTTGAGTTTTCTAGAAAATAAAATGTTGAAAAACAGGAAAGAAACATATAAAGATTTACTGTTTTATTTCCTGGAATAAATATATGTTGATATATTTCTGGTTTGCAAAATTTGTATTAAAAATAAAATGTAGAGGACTGTATAACTTATGGTAACGTATCTGTTTATCATAGTAACGTATCTGTTTAGAAAGAGATTTGAGTACTGTTTAATATATATAACTAAATCTTCAACAAAACTTTGGTTTAAATAAGTAATATATGGTTAGGCAATATATAACAGCACTGTAACTTAATGAAAAAAAAAACAAACATATTAAAGTATTTTTAAATGAATGTCCGTTAGTTTCTAAATTTTAGTCAGGGTCGTATCAAAATTTTCTGTCTATGGTAGGGATGGACTAATTGGATATAGCTCAAATGGATTGATTATTACTAAGTTGGTTTTCTTTAAGCGGTACCATTGTTTCTGATATAATTTTGTTAAATGTAGTTAAGCATAATTATACATGTACACATAGGCTTACTCATATTACCAAGTATGACAAAATCAAGGATCGAGATTGTACCAGTATATAAAGAAAAAGTATATAGAAAAAAATAAAGACAATTGAACAGCAGATGAACCAAAAAGACAAACGAAATACAGAATGTCAATTCACACTATGAAACACTCATATTAATCTAGCTGTTACATATTCTAATAGATGAGTGTCTTCATTTAAATGTTCTTGTTAAGTTCAATCTGTTTCTTAAAGCCACAATTTTATTTGACTATTTGAAGCTGCACATAAAACAATAAAACCTAAACAAAACTGTAAATGATATTGTGTGTTCTGTTTAATATTAAAAGTACTGGTTCAGACATATTATTTATTGGTCAGTTGTTTAAAAAACTTTATGAATATATATCTTCGTGTTCAGGGTTTTTCATAATTTTGTTCATAGTAGAACGGTGAAACAGATACGTTACTATGATTTGATATTCGTTTCCACTTAGTGGAATACATTTATACTGTTAAGTAAATCCGAGCAACATTGTGTCAATAGATAAGTATGGAACATCAGTATTTCTATTGACCTAAAATGTTTTTATAAGTGAATAATGTTTTTGGAATACACAAGTCTGATTAAAAAGTAACATTTTCATCAGCTTCAGTTCACAAGCTATTCATAGACGTAGATTTTTTTAAAAATGCATATTGATGCATAATATTTTGTAATATATACTGGTGCTATATTGTTGAAAGAATGATAATTAATTTCTAAATCATGTATATTCATGCTAATTATTTTTATCTAGTCTCTGAAAGCAATTGGAAAAATGGTAACGTATCTGTTTTTGCACAAATCTCGAATTCTTGGTAACTTAATTTCAGGAAATATTACAAGTTTTTTGGTGAAATGTTAAAAGAACCAGTATGTGTTCAATGTTATACATGATTTAAACCAACAAAAAAAGGTGTCTTGATAACTATTCGCAAATGTCAATTATTCACTATTACTTACAGCCTAATTTGAATGTTTAGTGGAGAATCAATGAAATGCTTTTTTTTGTTGTACTTTTATTTTGAAAGCAAAAATCTTTTATATATTTAGTTTTCAAATACTAACGAGAAATTAACTGTAATGGAAATAATTGATGTAAGAGTAGTCTTAAGTGTACATGTAGTAATTTTCCTGGCATTATTTTTCTAAGCAAATGAAAAATGAAATTGGTGTAAATTTATTAATTTGACAATTTGAGTGCTCGGCCCTGGATGGAAATATTTACAGATTCGTATATTGTTTCCAAATTAAAAGCATATCATAACAAATATTTTTCTTCAGTCTGAATTATGTTTAAATTCCTGTCTATACATAAAAGACGAATGCATTTTTATATGTGAAAAATAATTAATAATGAGATTCCACAATTTTATATTTCATTTCACAAGATGTATGAAAATGTTCATACAATTTCAATGCATACTAATACTATTGTTTCATTGACCAGCAGTTTATCCTACTAAAGGTGCAGCTAGCATCCTGAAAATAACGCAATAAATGTTACAAGTACCTTTGCTAGAAAATTAAGACAAATGAGCCGTGTCACGACAAAAGTAACATAGTGCGTTTGCGACCAGCATGGATCCAGACTAGCATAGGCATCCGCGCAGTCTGATCAGGATCCATGCTGCTCGCTATCAATTTCTCTACTTGTAATACAGTTGGTAAGCGAAGAGCATGGATCCTGATCAGACTGCGCGGATGCGCAGGCTGGTCTGGATCCATGCTGGTCGCAAACGCGCAAACGCACTATGTTGCTTTTGTCGTGACACGGCTCAAATGGTTTAAAATTGATATCATCAATAAATATCATCAGTTTACAGCAATCATTTGTTGCTTCAGGAAGTTCTCTACTTTTGCTAGAAAACTATAACAAATGTTTTATTATCGTGACATGTGCATTAACATAATTACAGAAAAATATACCATATAAGTAAACATAAAAGTAGGCACCACACCCGATGGGCCTAGTCACAAACATGCTATTAAGATAAACTACATCAGATGTATACTGACGATATTTATACTAAAATGATTTTCATCAGTCGCGAGGACAAATATTTATAAAATCATAGGTAAAAATTAATTTGACCAGGTAACTGCATAGAGGATTCGTTTTCGTTTGTTTTATTGCTAGATTTACACTAACTTTAACACAATTTATATTTTGGTCATATCCCGGTAGTCGATCCACCTTACTGGCTTTCCTGGATAACTTACCAGTAACAGGTCTTTGAATAGAATTTGAAAACAAGTGACGGACTATTAATCCTGCATGTTTTCTGAATCAGCTGTGGGTCACAAATGACCACCAGCTATATACATAGAAGAAATCAATTAAAATTTTATTGTAAATGCTACTGAAAACTTACTGAGATTTTTCACAGATGAAAAACATGTGCGTACGACATCTGTAATCCTGCCATTCATAGTTCTTTACACCAATCATACACATGCAATCCTCGCCATGTTCCCCGTCACCTAACATCATTGTACATTAACTCAGTGTGGCCATATCACGTGACATTGACGTCATTTTCGGCATCATTTCCAAGACAAATGTTGCTCGATTCGGAAAAGAAAATAGCCGTAAATATTTTATTTCTGTACCATTTCTTTGGATATGCACCAGTCCCCTACGGGGAAAAATAAAAGCTTTCCACAGAATATTGGACTTTGTCAGTTTTATATAGCCGTTTTATCAAACATTTGCATAACCTGAAGTTGCTTGTATTAGAGGGCTTCAGTTGCAAGCTATTTCGTTTTCTGGCGTTATCTGGTCTACGTATGATTAAAAAGTCAGGTTACATAATCAACCGGGAGTACGGAAGGCAAAACTCTACCTAAATATCGTTCATATTTTTTATTATGAATGACATAAATCTTAAATTTTTCTTCAATTGTCAATTCTGGCACCAGTTCCAAGTCGAAAAGAAGGACTACAGTTTAAAGCAGATTTTAGAAATCCGTTGCAAATGCAGAGCAAACATGCCTACCGTTCTTTTCTACAATTTTTGTTTTTCATTGTTTGATCTTTCACACAGAGATGGTGAAAACTGATTGTTCCTAAAAGCAATAACACTTACTTGTATCGCAAAAGTGCACGTCAAATCACGTAGATTTAGTCCTGTCGGAAAATAATATTTTGGTTTCGTTTTGAAGATGTTTAAAGTATTGCTCATTTTATCCTATGTAGTAAAATGTGTTTTATTCTATTTCACAATGGCGAAATTGATAAGAAATATATATGTGCTCTCTGTGAGAGAAAGAGTTAAAAAAAAAAACACTTTTGTGTGCTATGGAAAGGGTTACACTTTAACGCGAGTGTTGTTAAGCTAAAGGTATTTTTTCAGTTTATTTTTGTAAAGAGTAAATGACAAACACTGACACTCGTGAATGTGACGAATGGGTTCTTCTGTCTTCAAAAGAGAGACTTTTAAAAAGTATATATTTTTTCTGGAATTGTTGTATAATAAATTTCTAGAGTTTGATAAACGAAATCACAATTTGAACTTGGAACTTTGCCGTGTAAATCTGATACATGTAGTATGATACTTAGTTGCATTACTTGTGATTCTCTATTTATAAAAAAGACCTAAAATAGCCATGAATAAGAACGAGAATGGACGCCATGTGGAGTAAACAAAGTAAAAATAGTAAACAGATAAATGATGTTACAAACCAACAGCCATTGATCCAGTCAAATTTCTTGAAAACAAAACATTCAAAAAGACGGAAATAACAATGATTATCAATAATTATATAAATATTAACATTAACATCTTGTAATAGCAACGTCGGCAAGATCTATGACTGGGTCCATATGCCATGATGCGTCCATTGAATAATTGATAGCTAACATACGTAAGCTTAGTAAAAATTACGATTAAATTTGAAGAGTATATTCAATTTTTATCCTTCAACTGTCAAATGACTTACATCTTTATTTAAATATCAGATAATTCACTTATTTAGTATATGCGTCATGTTTATCATGTTTTAGATTTTAATGTGTGGTCCTTTTTTATATCTTAAAATGCTATAAAAAGCCTGTTGAGGACATCTGCAGGTCATGCCGTGTGCAATAATCCATGCATTTACAGCCAATGACTACATCGATAAGAAATAGTCCCAAATAGCCCTATAGTTTTTATTCAGTTGAAAGAGACATTATTGTTAAAAAGTTCTACTCGATTTAAATGTTTTCAAACCATAAATATTCCGTTCCCTTCCTCTCTTTACAATGTATATTGGTGAGCTCTCTGATAAAGCCGAGTTGACTGATGTAATTAACTAAATTTGTCAGATATGCAGTTTATCAACAGAAATAAATGCAATTACATAATAGATAGTGTTTAAAAGTTTGTTTAATAGTGTTCTTAAGTGAACGAAGTTATATCCAGTTCACGAAAAACGGTTACCGTGGGTATGAAAACAGGATGTAAAAATATTTTTATCAACGAGTGCCACTGTGTTAAAAGCTAAATCTATCATACCAAAACATTGCTACAGGTTCTTTATATAATATATAATATATCTATGTGGTTTATACGTATAAATAACTCTTTACAAAAGAAAAACCTTTGACTTTAAAATTGCCGCGTTGAGGCGTAACCCTTTTCACAGCATACAAATCGAAGTGATCCTGAAATGTGCACGTTCCTTGGACAGGCTAGCTAAGTCAATCCGAGCCTGCAATATTTTCAATTTTGCCGTTTTGGGCAATATTTAGGGTTTCTGTTTTCAATTCCACGTTTAGTATTGCTACATGACACAAATAGATTTTTCATAATCATTACCATGAAAGAACAATGATTAAAGAGCAAAACAATTTCTTTACAAATACAGACAACAAGTTAACGACTTTTAAAATCACTTATAGCGCAGCGAGTAAAAATCATTTAAAATATTCAATTTGTGTTTATGTAAATCGTATAGGAAATAAAATGTTTTTCATGGTTAACATAATTATAGAAAGAGAAACGGTAGGCATGTTGCTCTGCATTTGCAAAGGATTCTAAAATCTGCTTTAAAATGTAGTCCTTTTTTCTCGACTTGGAACTGGTGCAGAATTGACAATTGAAGAAAAAATTTAAGATTTATGTCATTCATAATAAAAATATGAACATATTAAGGTAGAGTTTTGCCTTCCGTACTCCCGGTTGATGTAAAACCTGACTTTTAATCATGACGTAGACCAGATAACGCCAGAAAAACGAAATAGCTTGCAACTGAAGCCCGCTCTAAATACAAGCAACTTCCAAGGTTATGCAAAGTGTTTGATAAAACGGCTTATAAACTGACAAAGATCCAATATTCTGTGGAAAGCTTATATTTTTCCCCGTAGACTGGTGCATATCCCAAAGAAATTGGTACAGAAATAAAATATTTACGGCTATTTTCTTTTCCGAATCGAGCAACATTTGTCTTGGAAATGATGCCGAAAATGACGTCAATGTCACGTGGTATGGCCACACTGTAACTTAAAAGTGTATATGTATGAACGATTCGAACGTTTCGACATTGTATTCAGGAGTTAAAATATAAGAACGATTAGAAAAAAGAAGATTTACCTGATTAATAAACCTTGGGTTTTCACAATGTCAAGAGAATAACAAAATAATGATAGATATGTTCAACAGGATAACATATAAAATATCGAAAACACAGTCATATTTAAATCTTCAATTTTTATACTTTTTGCTTTTTACAAAATAAGCATATAGATGAACGACAGTGCGGGCATTTTAAATTGCAAAAAATGGAAAACAGACAAGGGATTGGACGAAATAATAAATATAAAGAGCCAATTTCTGAATGGCAAACTGAAACTGATAGTCTTTGAAGACTGGTTAATTTAAATACCGGAATCTGGTTCGCCCTTATGCCAGTTACTGTAGCCCTGTATCAATGTATGTTTATGACTATAATCATCAATCCATTCCCATCGTCCTTCAGTATCGTCGTCACTTCCGCCTATCCATACACCAGAATCAGAATCGTCGTCGTTTTCATCTGAGGTAGTATATTCAAAGTCGCTACAGAAATGTTTTTGAATATGCTTAAAGTTGCATGCCTACAGACGGACAAAAACATTGCAAAAAAAAAATAACTTGGGGAAAATACAAAGATTTGAAGGAAGGCAACATGATTCACGCTTCAAGTTATTTTGTTATGTGCGTAAATGACTGATTTTGCAGTATTTATCACCATATTTCAACTGCGTGACTAACGCAGTACAGGCTATTCTTGTATGCTTTTACCTCTTCACGGTTATTAACCTGGTTTGTAAGTGCCGTTTCCTATGTGTAAATTACTGTCTTTGTTCACATTACAATATTTTACTTTCGAAACATTTTAAAACGTTTAATGAAAATTGGCATACACCTGGAGGCGTGCTACTTTTAAACATAAAGCAATGAATTGAGTTTTGGATACAATCTGGGACTTAAAATAAAATAGCAAGTCCCAGGATACAGCTAAACTGATGTAACTGATAAATAAAAAGTTTAAATATTTTTGTATATACATGTTTTTTATGTTTCATCAATAATGGAAATAAATGTTCATAATTTAGTGTTATATGTTTTGTTTTTTTGTTTTTTTTTCCACAAAGAAAAACAGAATATTAGTACTTACGAATCCTTTGTGATGATTGTTGTTTAAGGAACTGATCCTCCCCGGCGGTCTCTATTATTGCAAGATGAGCTTGTTGAGATACACAGAATGACTAGAACGACACGTGCTTATTTGTTATCTCAAACTATTGACATTTCGAATTTGATTAAATTATATCTTATTATACAAAGCCTATCAATTCAAGTTTGTTGAGGGTATCTATGGTGGCATATTTCTGCCACCAGATAACCATATAACTAACAAGTTAATTAAGAGGTTAACTAGTTACGTAACTAGTTAACCTGTTGATTAACTAGTTAGTTATCAGGTTAACTAGTTACGTAACTAGTTAACCTCTTAATTAACTAGTTAGGTATCAGGTTAACTAGTTACGTAACTAGTTAACCTCTTAATTAACTAGTTAGTTATCAGGTTAACTAGTTACGTAACTAGTTAACCTCTTAATTAACTAGTTAGTTATCAGGTTAACTAGTTACATAACTAACCAAGGAAATATAAATTAACGAGTAATACACGTCAACACCAGAGCAAGTTTACATAACTAGTTAACCTCTTAATTAACTAGTTAGGTATCAGGTTATCTGGTGGCAGAAATATGCCACCATAGGTATATTTCCTTTATCATATATTCTTATTGTATATTACGCAGATTTAAACATATTTCAGTCATATCTGGGCGGTCAGTCGACCTAACCATCTCTCCTGGATAACTAACCAGTAATAACCAATTTATTTTATTTACTTATCCCCCCACGAATTTCTGCGTCAGCAGTTAGAGACAAATGATCATCAGACTCTCATCACGGTCCGAGATCAATTATGATGGGGAGATAAAGCCTTGCCCGAGGATAGAACCAGGGACCTGTGGACTACAAGTCCGATGCTCACTCTGATAAACCACGGATTTGTAATATAAATCCGTGGATAAACTAAGCGGGCGGGCATTCAATTATAGATTGAAAAAGATCATAAGCTGACTTGACAAGTTGTGATTATTTAAACATGCTACACACTGTGAATTGTAAATGCAATCATTTAATGCTTCATATATGTATCTTAATAAATAATCAAAGATCATTTTGTATTGCAAATCGTCACCTTAGTGCAGTAACGGGTTAAGTCCTCCTAAATTTAATAGGAGTTATCCAGCTATTGCACTAATGATGTATACGTGATTACATAACAAAACCGTTGAATGAAACGAGTGGTTCCTGCATGTGGCTCTTATGGATTTCCCTAAACTGACCAATCAAAATCCACTCTAGCCAAATAAAGATACCGAACCGTATTGCATTGTTTCAAATATCATCAATGAAGATAAATAGACGTACATTTGCCTCTTTCCACTTTAACCTGTTGTCTGTATGGAACAAATAACAAGATCCCTGATACGTTTCCCAGCCTTGTGGACAACCTGCCAATTTACAAAGACATACGATAAAATTTTAAAACATTATTTTTGTGACAAAATCAGTTCTATGTAAAATCTTAAATGTTGGCATATTAATTCTTTTAAGCTCGGCTACTCTGCGAATAGGGAGAGCAATTGTACTCACCCTTCGTCGGCTTGACACTTGAGTTGTTAAGTTGTTGGCGTTCAAGTTGGTATTAAGGGAACGGATTGAAACTTCACACTTTATTTCCCTATATTTATCCTACATGACGGGAACATGTTTGATAACTTTGAGTTTTCTTTTAAAAGAGCTATGTCCCTTGTCTTACTGGCAAGCATTAGGAATAGTCGAGCGCGTTGTCTTATGATTAGCTCTTGTAATAGGATACTTCCAAAGTGTTTTAAATGATTTTTCAAAATGATTTAGATTATTTTTTACTGTTTATGTGAACAGAGTTTACTTTTACCTATAAAGTTGAAGATCGTAAGTTTAAATACGGACCTGCGAGTTGAACTTGTTTCTGGGGCATCTGTGTTGCTATGCTCACGTACCCTCTGTCAGAACATATACAAAACGAACACATAATTCTATATCAGTACATTTAACGAAAAGAGTTAAATATATCAAACGATTAAAGATATTATTTGAAGTGATATGTGCAAGTCAAGGATTAGTCAGTATAAGAATTTTGTAAAGTCAAGAAAGCACAAATATCTGTCAATTTTAAGCATTCCTTTTTCAATCGAACAAACAAACGTTCGTATAATGATCCCATTGATTTGTACGTATCAGAACGTAATTGCTTAACCATTTAATGAAGTTTACGAACGTCATAATATGTTATTTTGTACACATTAATTTTATAAAAAGCACCGTGCATGCATTATGTCAAGATCAAACTCCCGTCCATCTTATTCATTGGTTTGTTCTGAGACATGGAGTCCCAGGCTTGAGTAATACGCTAGATTAACCAATACCAACTGTGTCGTACCTTTCAAATTTTCGCAAATTTTTGCTGTTAAGTTTTGTCGTCAAAATCTATTTATCCAATATATTTACATGTATCCTACCATATATTTATTAGTTAAGATAACCAGTGTCTTTCAAATAGATAGTATTTGAAATACCCTGATGTATCGGTCAGACAAAAAGTGTTAACTGCAGAAATATCAAAATGACGTATTCAATGAAGTTTCTAATCAAAATTATTATATTGCGTAGTCAAAAATTTCGTTTACTCCATATTATGTGGATAAGGAATATATAGAATAAATCATTAGAGATGTAGAGAAAACATACTTAGTGGATTGTTCACACACATAAAACATGTGTTCATTACAGGAGTAGTCTGCCCATTGGAAACCTTGATTGCCAACCATTGTCATACAATCTTCCTCATGCTCGTTACCTCCTGTAATGTTTCAACCATATACATGTTAAACTTCTTTGTTTCGACAAAAAATACAAAGAAAAACCTTATAATCGACGAGAAATTGTTATCTCCTCAATATTAGGCCATTGTTCTTTGCTTTTTTTCTGTTTTTTAATTATAAATTTTAAGCAAATACTTGTATAAAGAGCAAATGAAATCATTATACAATCATATCAATAATAAATTTTCTTTATCTGTCACTATTACAAGTATTTTTTCCTATGTTTTCAACTAAAATCGTTTTAATTTCATAAACACAATTTTACAAATGTCTTTATACGTGTATTTTAGAAAAGATTCTGGCCAACGAAAACTCACACCTATTGACAATACATATCAAATACTGCTCTTTGACAATTTATGAGCCTTTTTATGATAACTGGAGTATATAACTGACAATACAATAATGGCATTTATCATTTATATTAAATTAATACAATTGAGCTTGTGTTAATGTGACATTATGCTCATCCAAGGTTATATAGTGAGTGAACAGGTGAAAGTTTAAATGAGTTCACAATTTGCCATAATTCCTGTCAATCTTAAAATTTACTTCACATAAACAATTTATAATTGACGTAGCCCAAGAAAATTTCTGTTAACCTCTTACCCCATAAGCATTTGTGAAAAATGGCTGTTTTCATTGAAAGCGTCCTATTACAAATGCTATGAAACTGTGAAAAATGCTTAAATGGCACAACTGTTTACTAAGCCATAGCCTTTGTAATGGTACTAGTATGCCAAATCTTAAATTTTATGTTACCATGGCCACGAGGGGACATATCAAAATTGCCTATTTTGCGCTGATTTTGTCAATCAAAACTGATTTCACAGTGCTGCAACTTCTCAGTGGATTGAGATAGACTCAAGGGCTTTTCAGTGTTGTGTTGGTTACACGTTACTTACGATCGACCTGAGGCTATTTTAGTCCCACACAAGTCCAAAATTTCCTAAATTTTCTCAAACGAAAACAAATGTTTGTGTCCTAAATAGGACATTTTTCACTGTTTGAGGCCTCAAAAGGGGGGGAGGATACGCTGAATCGCGTATATATGGGATAAGGAGTTAATATTCCTCGGAATTTACCTTTAACATTCAATTAACAAAAAAGTGGGGCAGTCGTTTTCATATTTTAGGCATATTTATATTTTATTCTAAACATTTTCGAATGTAACTGTGGTGAATCACCATGTTAAGAGATACATGTATATAGTCAATTCAGCTTATGCCTCAAAATCTTTAATGTTTAAATGTCAGAAAATGTCAAACATATGTTTAATGGATCTAGAACATATTAGATTTTTTAACAACTGAAGAAAATAGCACTTAATTTACAGTTATATGATGTAAAGCTAGCACAATGGAAACAAATAGCATTTTGACTTCCATGCAAAATACTTCTTCACTATAATTAATTATACTTATTGGCAACAGAGCATAGAAAGCAAAACGTAGTTCATCTATGAGGCAAATGAGTATTTTATTAAAACTTTTTGAAAATGTTACAAGATACCAACAATAAAAACATTTTGAGAAATAAAAATTATAGCATTTCTCAGGCATAATGGGCCTTAAACTAGATAATGAATGAATGAGTATAACGTCACGAACAACAAACGTTACCAACCTGCATCGGGCTCGTCGCTTTCCCAGTGAGTAAATGTAAATGGTTTGTATATATTAGTGAGACCGTTAAACCATTCCCAATGGCCTTCTTGTCTATCATCCCTTCCTGATACCCAGGCTGATGAATCAGACCCATCGTGGATATCTATATAGTTATAACATAATAAACTTAGATCTTAGGTTATTTGGCAGTGATTTCTTTTTTTTAAATTTTCATGACAACCTGTGGCTTTCTAATGGAAAAATATAGTACGATAAATCAAAAAAGGAAAAGGAAGAAAATCTGAAAACAAATTCCTACAACTGTCAGAGAATGGTATTGATCCACACATTTTATGAAATTTTCAATTTCAATTCAATTTTAACATCCTTGGTACATAGCAGAGGTATGGACAACTTGAGAAAACTTTTCAGTTAGCTGACATAAGTCAGATGCTGTTAAGCCACAATTATGTTGGTAACTAATTTGCAAAGGGTGTTTCAGGGGGGAAATATTGCACTTTTAGGGGGAAATAGGCATATTTAAGGCTAGGGAAAACAGCCTTTATTCGGCTGTAAAATATAAGGCAAAAATCCCTGTTTGGTTTAGTTTAAAATTAGTTAGCATGGTTTTGAACTAGGTCAACATTTTCTCAGCATGTTTCGAGAATATTTTTTTGCCTTCTTTCATGAAAATACGTGTATATATATCTGTCTAATGAGTGATTGTTGAGCTTTATACAAATGGACTTACGAGTGTCTATAAGATGGTCCAGGTGTTGTTTAAGAAAGTTGAATTCATCAACATTTTCCACGATTGCTAGATGAGAAGATTTGCTTACGCAGTCATTCTAGAGATAAAAAAAAACATTGAAAAAAAAAACAACATAAACTATATCACATTCAATCATACATGTAGATGTTGTTTTGTTTTCAATATAATAAATGTTATTTGGCGTTCCAGTAACATTAATTGCGATTGTAATATGATTCCATTGAAAAACATCAAATATATAAGCAAGCACAATCATGAACTACAATAGAACCTCGGTAAGTGTTAGTTGAAGAAACTTGTTGAAAAAAATTGCGTCGACTTCTCTGAGCTGACAAAAAGGCGTCTCAAAAGGGAATAGAGGTACTAGTAACTTAACTAGCTTATTGATAATCACGCCACACCGGGCATTTGTCTCTTTTTATTTGTAACTGAACTGAACTATGAAGTGATTTATGGCAATGTAATGTCTTACGTTAGCTTTGTGCCATTGACTACGATGATTAGTTTGGAACATGTAGCACGATGATTTGTACATAATCCAACCATTTGGACATGCTGTAAATTATCGTAAACAATTACAAAAACAGATATTATACTGTGATATTTTTGACTGTAATAATTGTACCCGTAACTCACGCTATTATTACAAAATGCAAAATGGCTTGAATCGACTAAGCATTGAGGTATTTATGCATCGTGTATATCCCGTAAATCGGAATTGTGAAAATAAGGCAGAAATTGTGCATAAATAATGTCAAATCTGTGAAATGCAAGGCGTAAACGAGCAATTCAGTTTACTCTAAAACATATTGGTCCGTTTACTTACCGCCTTGCTCTTTCCGACATAATATATTATACATTATTATATACATGTACATAATAATATGTACGACCACCATTCCTTTCATGCGTTACGACTATACACGGTTATATTGCTCTCGTAGTACTTGTTATTTGCAAGCAGAATGTGTTCTACTAAAAGACTTATTTCCTAGGATTAAGAATATATTAAATGAATGGGGATATCATATGCGATTGATAGAATGAGTTGAATAAACTAATATTTTGATGATCACATACCCTGAAAAACTTATCGGCTTGTTAATCAAGAGTTAAAAAAGAAGCGTTAAAAACATTAAAATTGTGAATGTTTTTGATACATTTAACGATATAAAACCGATTTTTACTTAAAATATTCATTTGCAACGGCTAATTTACATATTATATGCAAGAACATGCAATACCAAATTTTCGAATCCATTAAGGCAGCTTGGGTTTTGATAAATATTCTATTTGTTCGCATCAAACTCAACATAAAATATATCAACTAACGTAATAAGCGATATATTAAATAATTCATAAACTAAAGATACAAACATGGTTTAGGAGCTGTTGTTGTTGTTGTTGTTATTGTCGTCGTCGACGGTGATGTTCTCGCTGTTGTCGATGTTGTTGGTGAAGCCGTTGTTGATGTTGTTGGTGTTGACGAGGACAACGAAGACGACAAAGGTGTTGAATCCGGTACGGTAAGCAGCTGTGTGCTAAAAGCATTTGTTGTTATTGGTAACAGCGTTTTATTTAAATGTGTTTGAGACGGTGACGTCAAATTAGAAGAAAACGTATTGAGCATATTTGTTGTCGGGTGTACAGATGTCGATGCAGTTGTGGAGAGAATGGTGATCTGTTGAGAAGTGACGGTCTTTGACGTATTGTCGGTCGACTGGCTAGTGTTTCCACCATTTACTATTGTATGATTTCTATCAATGTTTATAATTACTCCTATGTTAGGTTTTTGTGTTGAAGAAGTGGTCATTTGTTTTGTGACTGATCCGGCTGTTGATGCTTCAGTTGATGTTGTTGTTTTTGATTCGGTTGAAGTTGTTGTTGGTGTAGTTGTAGATGTAATACTGCGACTTGTCGTAGTTGTTACTTTTAAATAAAAGGGGGGGGGGATGTTTTGACGACAGTTGAAGAGCATGTAGTGCAGAAATATAAACTAATTCAGACAAAATTTGTATGTAATAAGCGATGTCCAACATCTCATGTATATGTACTAAATTTTGAATAGCTTAAAGATATATTGTGCTCATCCTTGAGTAAAATATTTTAATCACAGAAATTTATTTGAAATATATGTAATTTTTACTGAATATGTCTTATTTGAATAAAACAATAAGTAAATTATATATGGGAAGGTGCGCTCCCTATTACAGGTTAAGTAAAGTGGGCCTTCCATAAAACGCTGTCAATCATTTTAATGACACTATATATTCATATTGTAACTACCTATAGTGTGTAGAATTTTTAAACATAACATATCTACTCTCTGTGAAGTCTAAACATTTATTTTTTATATTAACATAGAGTCTGTGTAGCAATTATCAATATTTGCTATTATCAAATTTAAGCATAGTATACTTTAATATTGTAAGAGATATTATTTAAGTTACAATGTATTTCCTTTAGTCATGGTTCTTTTCCCTGAATTTATTTGTCATTACCAGTATATATCGTAAATTAAGTCGTTGCTTCTTTTGTAATGTTATTTGATTCTGTTGCCTTTACAATAAAGGATAAATGATTGAGGCAGGTCATATTATGTTCATAGCACAACAAGTTTACCAATGAAAGTTTAATTCATACCAATGTCCTCGAAGGGGACGCTGCCTTGGCAAACCTGTATTTGAATTCCATCACCATTTTCAATAAAACCAATCTACAAGTTAAGCCAACATACATATTTCATGTACGGATTAATAAGTCATTTATAATTAAAAAAAATGAACTGTGCTGTGAGCTTATAGGGATCTTACAGCAGATGTCATAGAAGTATAGAATAGTGACCCCGGTTATTATTCTGTAACATGACCCCTTTGTAAATAATTACTCCCTTAAAAAAATGTAAAATATTGTCCTCATTATCCCACCCCTTTAAAATGGCCCCTATTTCATACAAAATGGCCCAGTTAAGACATAATAAGCTACAACTAGTATTCGATAGTAAAACTACCATTTTGCCATTTTGCTTCGGTAAGTATTGTTTCTACACTGTTTTATTTTTTTAAGAAATTAATAGAATAAGAAGTTTAAAGGTAAATAAGGAAACCGTTGGCTCAGTTGTTAAAGTGTCAGCCTCTCAGCCCAAGAATCGTGAGTATGGGTCAATTCCATGTTTCCACACACGACACCACCAAGAAGAGGAAAGAGTGGTTCAAATAAGTCACTTAATTCAAATTATAAATAATGTTGTAACTAATTTGTACTTCATAGCAAGTTCCCAATTTTTACAATATTTACTTCCCGTGCCAAAAGCCATTTTGGGGTCAATATTCTATATAATGATTATAGCACCAATATGTAAAAGATTTGGCTTCACTTTTCATAAAGATGACAGAATCATGAGAGAATTTTTATACTATCTTAATTATGCATATATTATGTATATTATGTTTGGAAAATGGCGGCAAGGGTAGGTAATAATTGGTATGTGAAAAGTATTTGTTGATGTCTTCATCTGTTATTTATCTAATAAGTGAATGATTATTGTTTAAGATTGATGACATGCAACGCTGTGTTTTTTGTTCAAGTTTCATTTCGATTTACGAAATGTATCATTGTAATTATTTACCTACCTTATTTTCAAACTGAACTTGTGTGAATTTGTCATCTTTTGCAGCTTTTGCGTAGATTGCTTTACAGTCGAACTCGTACAAATATCCAATCACTTGAGCAGCTGAGCTATCTTTTGAATAAATTGGCAACTCGACATTGTAGTTGCACAAACATGTGTAATCTCCTAGAACATATGCTGTTAGAACAGCACTGAAAACAATGACTTTAATCACAACAGCAAACATTGTGCTTTTGAAACGCACAAATAATGTTTGACTTTATTTGCAGTGTATGTGTTAGTCATATGAACCTAAGTTAAGGCCTACATATGGACCTTATCTTTTATGTCGGTCATGGTCATGTGTGACAGTCAAAGTTCTAATCTGTGCATTTATAGTTTAACCGACATGTTGGTCTATATCAGCACATGGTCGTTCACAAAATATGAACATCCTTTAATATTTTGAAAATAATCTCTGTCAGTTAAAAGAAACATTCCTATATTTGCTAGACATTATATAGGTAATAAAATATGCTGCATGATACATGCACGGACATATATTATTATAAAGTTGGTATAACTAGTAAAACTACCGCTTTGTAACGTTCACAATTAAGAGAAATGATACGCTATTGCCTAGTCTACAATGGGACCATGGTGACCCTAAATTGCAGCAATTGCTGTATGATGTACTCAATGCCATATTGCATAAGTAAGAAGTTGTTCACATAAAGCCATTCGTCCTCCCCTTCGTCAAACCTTTAGTCAGAAATAAAAAGGCTATCATGCAGAAGAGATATGCATCTTTTTGCATAGCAGTGTTAAGGGCCACATCTCTACAAAATATAATGGGATCAATCCTTAAACATCCAAACGTACCGACTACACAGGTTCTGTGTTCATTTGGTTTAAATCAAATATAGAAAACTATTTTGGCCCTTTGAGAGCCAATGAAAGACAAGAGACACAAATTTCTTTAGAATGGCAAAGGCATTATGAAGAAGCCATAGACTGTTTAATACCCCGCCAAATAAAAAGAAGACATTTAAACACACATCAAAAGGCCATATTTCTAACATTATAGAGTAATACCTCCAAAATGTTGAAGTTTTAGAATAAATTCTCTACAACTTTGATTTATGATCCAGAAAAGATGGAAGAAATAACAAATAATGGGCAATTACTTCAAACAAATAATGTAAAAGATTCTTTTTTCTTGCAAAATGAAAACCTATCCACTTATGAAGTTTAAAAACTGGTATCTAAAATACTTTTTGTTTAACATACGCATAAAATGTAAACTAAGGAAAGTTACTCAAAAATAACGGAATGGAAGTTATCAGTATTGTAAACCACAGTCCTCCTCAATAGGATATTTCAATCTACGAAGATTCAAGTAGATATCTCAGATATTTAATAAGTTATGAGATATGGTCCAGACGAAAGTTAAACATGAAAAATTAGAAAGGACTCATTAAGTGCAGTGAAATCATTCTTGCGCACGGCACTCCTCCAAAATGAGTTCCATCCACCTATGATGTTTCAAGTTGATATTTCAAATTTATTTTTATTCTCTGGACAAAAGGCGGACATAGTCTACAATTTAATCCCCCGCCGGATAATAGAAAACAAACAGTTGAGATCTACAAAAATATTTTAACCATCGACAGCAGCATCATTAATTTATGAACTGTGTACGGATAACCTGTTTTAGTTTATCTTTAGACAATGTTACAAAAATAGCCAAACTTAGATTATTGCCTTGTCTTGTTCTATATTTTCAATATGTTGATATAGCAAAATATTATACAACCTTCTAAAATGAGACATATGTAGTTCGAGGTAAGCAAAGTTCGAGATTGGTTAAAATAATGAAAGTGCATGATTTATAAGTAAGTAAGTAACAAGTTTACAAACTGCTTTTTGTAAGGGAAGTTTAATTTGTTACTAGATACATGGATATGTCAACTTTACAAACACTTGTTTCTAATATATATACATGTAGTCACCTCAGTACATCCAAATGTCTTCTTCTTTTCTTACAAATAACTGATAAAGTAACTTGTTACCGTTAACAGAATTATGGTCCTTTGTTGATTTTTTCAATATATACCATAAAGAAATTTTGTGAACGCAACTCCTCTTAAACCGGATGGCAGATTTTGCTTAAACTTCCAGGGATGAACAACATTAATGTGTAGATGGTAGTAAAGGAAGGAATTTTGCTGCGACCAAATTTAACAGAATTATGGTCCTTTGTTAATTTTTTCACTATATACCATATAGAAATTTTGTGAACGCAACTCCTCTTAAACCGGATGGCAGATTTTACTTAAACTTCCAGGGGATGAACAACCTTAATGTGTAGATGGTAGTAAAGGAAGAAATTTTCGCTGCGACCAAATTTAACAGAATTATGACATTTTGTTAATTTTTTCACTATAAACCATATATATGTTGTCGGTGGGGGCATCCGTGTCCTTTGGACACAGTTCTAGTTTTCAATTTGATTTATTATAAGGCATTAGTTCATATATTTATTGCACTGGTGTTCGCTTCGGTAATAGATTTGAAAAAGTTTGTATTTCCTGCATTATTTTGACATTTAATTTACACGGTGCTACTGCATTTTGTTTCTTTAATTCGATTAATATGTAATGTTATTAAAGCCGTGATCAAGTCTATACCAAATCTGTGCAGGGCTGTTTAAACTGAATACTTGAGCATCAAAAACTATGACAATTATAACATAAACATATGCATGAACTCTTTATAAAAAGGTATGAAAACCTTGAAAATAGTTTGTTAAAAAATGCGTCCAACTCTTATCTATTTATGTTTAAAATTTGACTCATAAGTTTTTTTTAAGATCCCTATTCATTCAGACATATCACGGTAGAAATAAACAGGGGTACGTAGTGTCGGCCTCAATAAGTTTTGAAGGACTTAATTTTTCTCATAAAATAATTTAAATGTATCTATATTGCATTGTCAGACTAACAATTCAATGATGCGTTCTTATAATTGTGTTCCAGTTAATCAATGTTTTACTATATATTAATTTTAAACAACATTTTAAAATTAATTCAGTGTTTAAAGTTTTTGATCAATGAATATTCACTGGACAATGTAATCTAGGCAAATGTACAATACACTTCTCGAGATGTCGCAAACAGAATTCCCATGAACGCACTAAGTAAATAGTATTACCTTTTCCGGTCTCCGCCATAGTTCTTCCGTGATTCATTCAAATCATAATAGTGATAATCATGTTTTATTCCGCTGTTATTTATAAAAGCACATAAAATATGATATAAGATGATTCGTAATCAGTGTTATTCACTAAACATCAAACGAGCTAGATATATTGAAATATGATATCCAACAAATGCCTTCTTAATTTTCAACACACTTTCATGGACAGATAATTAAAAAAAAGAACGGTGACTTCCTTTTTTTCATATATTTGTTTCAATTCTTGTTCACTTAACCATCCGAAGTTTAAGAAAGTTCTCTGTGCTAATTTAAAATTTCCCTTTTGTTTGCTAAAACAAATACATTCATAATCATTCGGCACTTGATTATTTCAATTCATTAAGTGTCATAACTGGTAAAGTAAGAATACTTTCAAGATATTTTCAGTGTCCCCTATGAGACTTATGTAATATTAAACGGATGTTTTTTTTTGTTTTGGATGTTCATGTTTTGCATCAGATCTAGTTCAACACTAATATTTATTCTAAGAATCACAAATGTACATTTTAAGACTCTGCAGGCTGCCGTTTTTTTTTTAAATTTGTATTTGCTGGTGTACCATACGCTCATGCCAATGTTGAGGTCTGACATCTGAATTTGACAAATACACTTCATGCATTTTCATCCACTTTGCCACTGTATGGATCATGTGACATCCACAATTAACAACGAAAGCATGTTTAGTCATATTTTAATGATTGCCTAGTTGTAGATCGTGGGAGAAGACTTTATAAAATTATGTGTAAGTGACAGTGCCCAGTACCAACAGTGAAGTTTCAACAGTAAATTTCCGTAATACATGTAGTAATTTCATGCTGTGTTGTTGAAGTGTTGGTCAGTTCAATTTGTATACTGCAGAAAGTATCATAGTTTGCATTGAAAATTTTAGGGTTATTACTATTTCATATGTGCATAAGTTGGACTGCAGCAACCAGTAATGGTAACAGGAGTATGCTGCACTGTGCCGCAGGATCAATATAGTCACTCAGTGACGACATTGTGAAAACGAAAAGCAGAATTATTCCGATATTATAAAAGTAGAGGAAAAACTAATTTGGCAGACCCAACATAAGGTATGTGTGCGATTATGTGTTTGAAATGATCGTTTCAGTCATCAGAACACAGCCACTTTGAAAATGTTCAATACCCCATTTAGGGCAAGTTGAAACAACATACCCTTGGCTTAATACAAATAACAATGATTTTGCGCATATATTAATGTAAAATGCTGATTAAAAACATGCCAATAATAATACTTTTTTTTAAAAAATGCAGATACAATAATAATTAAACAACAGCTAACCTTTGTGCACCATTTTTGAAATATAATCGATTTCAATTTATATTTGTAGATGAATGAATTTCCTGTAAGTTCTTTAATGGACATAAAATAATACATGTAAGTGCATTGATAAAGTCTTTATTCAGATATTCTAATTTTGTGTAAAAGCTCTCCCAAAACTGTATAAAATCTTCTTTTTTTTCGTCCATTTAGCGAGTTTCAAGAGCCGTAAAGGTATTCATTTATGTCTATGTATAACCAACATGTAATTATTCTGATCGGTAGAATCAAAACAATCAAACAAACAAACAAAAAAGTTGCCCTATGAAGATAGTGCCACATTTGTTACGGTTTGGGCTTTTCACATATGTGTTTAATGCTGTAAGATGGCGAATAGCAGGGAATATCATCTTGTTTATAACTAAAGATCGTTGGTATGTTAATTATCGTATGCTAATTTCAAAAGATTCATTTCATAAATCTTTTTATTTAGGAGGGAAGGTGTTATGTATAGAGGTTTTAAATATAATTATTATCTATTTCCTGAATAGCTCAGTAGGTCGTGGGTTCGATACCTACTCATTCCACTATCATTTGTAATAATTAAATAATTTTTCATGTTCATTCATCCTCTTTTAAGAAGGTTCTATAATGTTCATTCTGGAAAATTCTTTCTCTAAGAAGTTTAGTATTATAGATTGTTCATTGATAGTATATATATATGATGTTTGTGTGTACTTCGAGGTGTGTGCTATTTTGTGATATAGTGTTTGTTTATATACTGATTGTATG